ACATTAATCCCCCTGTCTGCCTGCCATCCAAACCACACAAGAAGTGCTGTCAGTTCGCAGCAACGCAGATGCTGTGCTATCTTCTCTAGGACACAGACAAAAAAAATATTACATCTGACCCTGTACTGCTCAGCGGACCGCTAAAACAACTCTGAGTTATATAATTCGTCAATCTGGTGGTCAAAACAAGGATCTCTCCAAGAAGGACTGGGGGAAAAAAGTGTTTTTCACCACCCTGGGTCTCAGAGCAGATGACTGCAGAGAAGACAGGAAGGCCAGACAAACAGGGGTGCCAGAGCAGGTGAGAAGGCCAGACAAACGGGGATCCCAGAGAGCAGATGGGAAGTTCTGGGATCTTATGGTGCACTTAAATGATTGTGTCATCTGCTGCCACCACCTCTCTTTCTTGTCTCCTCTAAACTTTGCAGTAGTTAGGAGGGAAAAATGCTTTTCCCTAGCAACACTATATTACTGTGGGCCATCTCTACCTTATTGAAAAGCATTCGTCAGCAGCTTGGGCTTGAACAAACAATTAGGACCTGTTAGCCTGACCAAAGACCTGCTATTGTTGGAATGAAAAATAACTCAAACTGGTTTGTTGTTCAGGATCAAGGGAGCAGTTTCTGGCTTCAGCAGGAGCAGGTCTTTTGTAAAGTTAACAGACCTTGATCGCCCATTCAAGACCAAGAACTTTGTAACCCAATTCCTTTGCATTACAACAAGGGTAGCCCACCACCAATGTTGTTGTCGGGTCAATCCATGTGCATCCATGCACCCATCCACCCCTCAACCACTGTCAGGAAGGCTGCTAAGATCAGAGTGAAACTTGGGAGGGGAACTGCCATCCCTAAGACAATTCAACCCTGTACGTTCTTAACAGACTCTTTCAAACTCCCCTCTGTGTTGGCAGAACTACTGTATAACTTTTCCTCCTGGGGATCTGGCTGTGCCTCTTCCATTCAGTGGAGTTGCTGAACCTCTTCTTCCCTTTCCAGGCTCACCTTTGACCTCGCAACCTTCCCCCACCCCCGCTTCCCCCACTACAGGGAGAAGTTACTTGCGGTGTGGGTGTTGGGCATGTGGGTAAGAGAGAGAATGGCTCATACCTACAGGGATAAAGATAACATAATGACGGGTTTATTTATAACACAAAAGGCCATCAGCCAAATATTCCAATCTTTTGGATCCGTGTAAAATTTACCACCTCCGTCTTCTCAAACCCATACTTTCCAAACTCCCTGTAAGGCCTAGAGTATGCACTCAGCTCCGTGATTCTCTCCCCCACCACGCAACAGCTGATCATCGTTGTTGGCACACAGACTGGTAATTTTTGGTCGATGACGCATTCAACATGAGCAGGTGGGATGTTTATGGACATTCCCACTGCTTTCTTAAAGTTAAGAGTTGCCAGGTAGGGTCTGGAGGAAAGGACTTTGAAAATGAGAACTAGCCACTTGAATATTGAGAGAAAAAAGAAACAGTAGCCAAACCACAAGTTGAACAGCCATGTGCAATACCCTGAGCCACTGGCTAGGACAATGGTGGGCCATTCATTCCTAGCTTTTGGGTTGCTTTTTGGCTGCAGTTTCCATCAGCCCCAGCTGGCACTCACAATGGCTGATGGGGTCTGTAGTTGATATGATAAGGTGCCAAAATACCCATAGAGGCAGGGGTTAGAACTCAGTGCCAGTTGCTGAACCATGGTACAGGGGGGCAGAGAGAACTCCATACATGCACAGAGGCAAGTGGGTTCCTAGAGCAAATCACGCCTGAGCTGTCTAGGCGAAAATGATGAAACTGAAGCCATCCTATTTTGGGCCCATTCTGAGAAGGCAGGATTCCCCGGAAGAGACCACAATGCTGAGAAAGGCGGAAGGCAGCAGGAAAAGAGGAACACCCAGTACGAGATGGACCGACTCCCTAAAGGAAGTTACAACTTTTGAGTTTGCAAGAGCCGAGCAAGGCTGTGGAGGATGGGAGATTTTTGGAGAGCGCTCGTTTGCGGAGCCATCCTAAGTTGGGGGAGACTTGATGGCTCCACACAACAGCTGCAACAACAGCACATTTCAAGAGGGGGGGGGAATTGCCCTTTGCTTTGAGGAACTTCTGAAGCATCAGCACAGGTGAGGAAGAGAGAGCAGACACCAAAGCAAGTGCATTAATGACAGCACCCTCCCCCCTTTCTCATTTCTTTCTGTCTTTAATTTCTTTTTCTTTTTCATTTCTGCCTTTCCCAATGACAATTTTGCAGCAGCCGTAATAAAATTATAATAAACCCAAGCTGCATTCTCTCCCCCACCCCAACACACAGACACACACACCAAACCCCAGACGCTGGAGCCATGGAAACAAGATAAAGGAGGCACCTGTGCTTGGCCATGGACTGCCACTCCTGCACCGGGTCTAGAGCGCCGGCGTAATTAAATATAGATATAAACAGAGGACGGCGATGAACAAATGCCGGGGGTCTTTTGAGGTGCCGCAGGTTCAGACAGGCGAGGGGGAATCTGAGATCAAAAGCAGACGAGCATCAGAGTCCCTACGGAGAGGGAAAGGGAGGCCTTTTGCGGTCTCCTGACCAAGCCAGAGAAGCAGAAGTGAGAAAAAAACTGTGATTTTTTAAAAATGTACTGTATCAAGAAAGATGGGAAACACACAAAGCCCACGGGGAGGACAAACTCTGCCCCTCTCACTGAAGCCCCCTGAAATGCTTGCCACACAGGGAGCGAGCAGAGAAGGAGGGTTGACCTGGCTTTTGTTGCCTCTAAGGGAGGCTCAGCACCCTGGCTAGTGGCCGAATAGTTCAGAGGAAAACCTGGAGTAGATCCACTGCCCCCACGGAATGGCAGTCATTCCCCCCCCCTTTTCCCATATAGCCTTTGTTTGGAGTTGAGCCTCAGAAATAGTGGCAAACATGCCTTGGAGTTCAGGCCCCCACAACGTGGGACTTAACCTCCTTTTTGTTGTTGTTCTGCCTCGAATTAGCTTTAATTTCCTTGATGAACACTCACTGGCGGTTTTAATGCCAAGCCTGCTGTTTTCAATATCTCGTTAGCCCTGTGCTGTTGCCGGTGCCCCCGGGGCAAAACTCTGGGTTCCTTGGGAATGCCAGCTTTTAATGGATACCCCCATCAAATAAGAGAAAGCGAAACGCCAGGCTGGGGGAAACGGGTGTCGAAGGAGCAAAGAGACGAGGCAGAAATGCTAATAATTAAGATATATGCGCTGACAAGCAGCTCTCTGCTTCTCCAGAAGAAAGCGATGCCCTCGCCTCCCAATTTCACTGGAAATAAAACTGGTCACTGGGCACCAGAGCAGGCGCCATGGTGTGGACTCGCCTGAACAAATTGTGTCACCCGGTGCATAAGAAGGAGGCGCTCAAGCGGGAATTCTTTCGCCCGAAATTATTCACCACCACAATTGAGACCACCACATTGAGTGCCAAATAGTCAGTGTGGTGGAGTGCATAGAATGATGGACTGGGACTCAGGAGGTGAATCCTCACTCAGTCCTGAAAACTCACCAAGGATGTGGAACTGGTGAAATCGCTCCCCTAAATACCTCAGTTCCCTTGAAAGCGGCCTGGCGGCACTGAACACACACACCGTCAGTGAATTTAACCAACAGGAGTCCTGTCCATTATTTTTAAAATATTGGATGCACCCTTTTACTTCCTTTTAATATATATCCTTAGCTCTCCCTTTGATTTTAAATTGTTGTATGCTTTAAAATTGTTTTGCGTAGCTCTGAGATCCTTTTGGATATAGGGTGGGCTGTGACTGTTTCAAAGAAATAAATATTGTGCAGTTAGTTGCACAGTGGCTTGCATAACATGCCGAGCCTTTTGTCATTGCAAGAGAGGAATCCAGTGTAAGGGATGGGAGATGGTCACGTGTCCGTGGAACTCTCTGCCACATGAATTGCTAGCTTAGAAGAGCAAATAATAAATCAATCCCAAATTAAATAAAAAGACCTGACCCTAATTTATGGAGGACAATTCTTTTGCCTTACGAGCCAAGAGGGGGAAGCTTCCAGAAATAACAGTCCCTGTAGCCCTGCATTTGAGGCCAAAATCTTGTGTGACACAGCTTTAACCAGCAGCCAGAGAAGCCCGGGGTTGCCCAACGATAACATGGGACAAGACGAACCAGAGACTGGTTCTGGAATGGTCCATGGCCGGCTTGTTGCTGTGGCAACTGGGAGCCGTGCTCGGCCGTGCTCTGGAGTCTAGACCCATCTAGGGTCTGTGAGTTGGCATAGCAACTCCGTACCAGAAGAAAGATTTGCCCTAACAGAGTTTGTTCGTTCGTTCCCTCGCTCTTTTTATATCCCCCTGCCAGTTGGTTGGAAGAGAGCGATGTGTTCACAAATTAAAATCTGTGTTTTCCCTCGCTCCATGCAAACAGATCAGACCTGGGCATGTTTAAATCGTATGCAAAGGAGTGCTTCCCCAAACATTGCCACCGTGTATGCCCCAAAATGCCGGCTAAACTACCATTCATACCAATGTTCTTTAAAATCTTCTCCGTGTTACTACAGTAACTTCCCTGCATACTAATCCTCTAAGCTCAGAAGGGCAGAGCTGGATGGGACCCCTAAAGATCATCCAGTCCAGTCCTGTCAAGGAGGCACCCCCCACGCCCTCATCCATTGAGTGTACAAGTCATCAGTAAGAAAAAAAGGAAAATATCGGAAAGATGGACACAGATTTGTATAATATTTGCATATACCAATTTAGGTGTTGTATGTAGTGTATTGTCAAGTCACATCCAACTTGTGGTGACCCTTATAGGTTCGTTCAAGTTATGTGAACTATTTAAGGAAGGGTTTCAGCATGCCACTGACCAGTGAGTTTCTCTGTCTGAGCAGGGATTTGAACCTGGGTCTCCTGAGTCTTAAGTCTGTCACTGTATCTGCAACACTGCATTATACCTGTCTGTATCTATCTGGTCTATCTACCCATCCATTCATATCTACCTGTACCTCTATACTTAATTTAGATTTAGAAGATGCACAATTAGAAGTGACTTCCAGAAATCGAACAGAACAGAAATACATTTCTTCTCAGCCAGGAAAGGAAGGACAGATGGTCTGTGCATCTACTAAATAATA